TAAGGCACAGAGGAAGGGATGCACTTGCCCAAGGCCACACAATGAGTGAGAGGCAGAGTTGGGATGTGAATCTACAATGTTTCTGATTCCAAAGTGTCCTGGCAGTTAAAATAAAGAAAGGGTCACGCTAAGCTGGGTGGGCAGCTGAATCCTGAGATGGGGAGGAGGAATTCCATGTGGAGGAAACCTCCAAAATCAAAGGCAGCAAGGCTGGGAGTGTTACAGTGTCAGGTTGCAGGTGACAAAGAAGGGTGTTCAGAGCTATTGTACACAAGACATCGGTGGGGACAAACCAGCTGGAAAGCCAATCAGATTACCTGTGCTTAATTCAGTGGACAGAGGGGGTCCCTAGAAGGTTAGGGAGCAGAAGAGTAAATTGATTTGAGATGCGCTTTAGGAAGATTTAGTCCAGCAATGGGGGCAGAATGCGTACAAGACAAGAAAGATCAAGGGCTAAGAGACTGTTACAGTAAAGAGGAAGAGACTGGGGTGGGGGCAGGGGAGCAGTGGGCCTGTTTTTGGTTTACCCCTCTTTTGGAAGCAGCACCCCCCTTTTCCCTTAGGTTGCCACCCCCCCCCATTTTATCTCCTGGTTTGGGTGAGGCTGCCCCTCCCCCATTGTCCAGGGGTAGGCATGTGATCCAGGCCTGGCCACCCACCGTCCCAGCGATTGGTTTGGGGATGGGCAGAGGACCTCAGCCAGGCCAACGACAGTCAGCCAGGGGATCCCTGAAATCACTGGCAAAAAGGCTCGTCTGTCTCTGCACAGGGACAGCCCTGCCTATGGACTGAGGCAAGAGCAGGTGATGGCCATCCACATCACCACCCGAGAACTCCCCCACCGCCCCAAAGAAGGGAGATGAGGAGGGACAGGGTAGGAGGTGGCCGTTCGGAGTCTGGGCAGCCTCACTGCAGCTAGGACTCCCCTGGAGTCTCCTGCTCTGAGCTACTGATGGAGTTTTTGCTAATCTGCATTAGGCTTCTCTCAATGCACCCGAATGATCTCTAACCACCCCACGTGAACTGTGCTATGGGGCAGGAAGCCACCACAGAGGCAGTGACAAAAGGGGAAAGTCAGTGAAGAAGGAAGGGAAGCAGGCAAGTCCAGTGCCAGGGAGAGCCAGACAGGGTAGGGGGCTCCAAATCCTGCCAGCAGGAACAGGAAGATGAGGACAGGGGAGGTGGCGTGGCAGCTCGGTGACACCTCGGCGACCTTCTGGAAAACACCAGGAGGGGAAGGAGAGAAGACAGTAGCCTGAAGAGAGGGGGGAGGGGAAGGAAGTGTTTAGGAGGAAGGGTGCCTGAGTGCCAGAGAACGCCCTGGAGGAAGGCCTCCCCACTCCCAGTTTACAGGGGAAGAGAGTGGCTGCTGTTTCTGGGCTCCCCGGTATGCTGCGCACCTTGCAAGATGTTTGGAAAAGGGCAGCCCGTACCAGAGTGGGAGCTTTTCTTCTCAGGCCTGGCAGGGCACCTGGCGGGGAATTAAAGCCACAAAAGAGCCCTCCCTGCATCAAAAGTGAGTAAACATGTCATTCTTAACCTGCACACAGTCCCACAAGAGGTGAGAACCTAAACCACTTCCTTAGAGGACAAGGGCATGGCCCAGAACCAGCCTGCCCAGATTCACAGCCCAGCTCTGCCACTTCCTAGCTCTCAGGTGAATCTCGGG